TATAGTTTTAGGTGGCATCCAAAAAGTATGGTATCCAGGTCCAGGAATGTAATAGTGACACTCTATTCTGGTTTGATCAGACTCTCATCTGATGAACTCTGTCTAGTTATGGGCACCACAATTTAAGAAGGATATAGATGCTCAGAGATGGATAATCCAGTGATAATTCTTGGGAAGGAGACAGTAGATACGTTTAGCCAGGACAAGGAAAAAAGAGAAAGGTGGTGTGATAGGCATTTTCTAATATATAAAAGGCTGTAGTGTGGGAAATGGAAAAGTAAGCTTACTTTCTGCAGCTCTAGAGAGTAGAAAAAATGCCAGGTTTAGTAGATTTAAAGCAGTACTGTACTGACTTGCCCATAATACTCTCATGGATTGTCCAAAAGCATACAGTGATAGCTTTCCACCTGACCAGGCACAGTGGACTTTCACCAGCAGAGTTTCACTCCATGTTTGGGGAGCAGTGGACAGATGTTACGACTAGATCCTGTCTCCCGTCAGCCGTCAACAACAGGAGGTTACATTTGTGCTGTTGTGTCCCTGTTTAAAAAGCCATCCAGCAGTTATATGCTCCTAATGAACAAAGTGATACCCAGTGCGATGTAGTGAATAGTGTGATGAACTGGGATTCAGGAGGCCTGGGTTTCAATCCCTGCTCAGCCACGGAAGCTCATTGTGGGTCCACGTGGAACTGGTGAAGCCACTCCTTAAATATCTCACTTACCTTGAAAGCTCTATAAGTTCGTTCCAACTTCACAACAGATGGCAACAATGAAGGAAGTAGCAATGGGCCCTGCCCTTTCAGAAAACCAGCCTCTTTCTCCCTCTCCCTCCCTCCCTCTCTCTCTGTTAGCTGCATAAACAGAATTTTACACTACTTGTCATCTGACAATTTCCCTCTTGCAACAGCGGTTTCAAAGCTACTGCACGCAGCCTTGATTGTTACTTATTTTTAAGTTCACTTTCTAGTCTGCTTGAAGGAGTGGAGGCATGGCTGAGGAAATGCACTGCTCTGATTACTCGCTTGCTCCCATTGATCTGCCGCTTCCGAGAGTTATTTTATCCATATTTTATGTGCCCCCTGGCGATGGGTAAAGTTTAAATTAAATAATCATCCGAGAGGCCTCTGTGGTGAAGTGTCCAGGCATTTTTGTGGAAATCATGACACACAACATGGCAAGCAGAGTCTGTAAAAAGCCTTCGTTTTGCACACGTGATGGGTCGAGATTGAGCAGCTGCTACTGCTGTTAGGCAGGATATAAATAAAGAATGTGAAAGCTTGGTATCCCTGCTGTCCTGTTTAATGAGAAAATAAATAGAAAATAGATGCTGGCTTGAAGTTTACATTTCTTCGTGAAGAGACCATCTGACTTCCCTTTTGTATGCATCTTCTTTGCTCCATTTTATGGGTCCTGCGAGCTCTGACCTCTCCATGTTGGTGTTCTCCTGATTTCTGATGGCCCAGAATTATGAAATGCTGGCTTAGGTGCTACTCCAACACATTCATGGGTGACATTGATCTGGTTAACCATGGCGCTTGTACCTTGCATAGGAAGCTTGGGCAGAAAAAGGCCAATTTGGGAACTAAACCAGAAGAAATTGTGCCATCTTGACCATTGTTCAGCCATAGTTTTGTACACCGATGATATTTGTCTGTAAAGAGGAATCTTAAAAGAGAGGTTACAAAGGAGTACAGTGTGGTGGAGTGGTTAGAATGTTGGACTAGAACTGGAGAGACCTGTGTTCAAATCTTACCTTAGCCTTTATCTTCAATGGGTGATTATACAGTTGTGTTCAAAATTATTCAAAAGACCTGTGTTCAAATCTTACCTTAACCTTTATCTTCAATGGGTGATTGTAGAGTTGTACTGACTCTCAGTTTTCCCTGCCGCACAGAGTTGTGGTGTAGTTAACATGGGGGTGGGGGAGCATATATACTGCCTTGAGCTCCATGAGGGATGTAAATACTGTAATCAAATAAGTGAGTTTATTGCTCAATGTATTCTAATCAGTTTTATAGTTTGTTTTTCAATATATTTAATGTTTTTTTTATACTACAATAATTTTTAATATTGTGAGCCTCCTTGAGTCCCCTTATCAGGAGAAAGGTGGCCTATAAAGAAGAGAAATAAAATAAAATGTCACACTGCACGCCAAGGAGGGATAACTTTGGCAGGTCTCAAGGACAATGTTTCATCTCCTCAGTTCCTGCCATTAAGCTCAGAAATGCCCCAAATTGGGGAGGGGGGAGGGATCAGACGTTTGCTTCCCAGAGAACTGATGGAATCTCTGGAGGGCCCCATATTACCCACACCTTCTTCAAAGAAAGATAGCAGAGATTGAAATGTAAAGCCTTATCACTGAACACCAGCTTCTACCCGGAGGATGTTCTGTGCCACGTGCGTAGAAAGATCTGGCAGCATGTGTGTGTGTGGGGGGGAAATCAAGAAACTTTTATCTCTGTATGGCTTAGATAGTTCTAAATGCTGCTAGTTTATACTGTATATATATGTGGAGTAAGCGGGTACACTTTTGAAATAAGATGAGCATGACATCCTCACCAGAATATTTAGGTAGATACCATGCAAATTTGGTGGCTTGTCAGCATTTAATTTGGAACTAAGGTCTAGAACGTAATCTGTTATCACTCTCTTTTTGAAAAAGCCAGGTCAGGCAAAGTTATCTGTCCTGCATCTTCTGCAGTAAAGGCAGTTGCAAAGATATAAAATGGTGTAAAATTTTTTTTTAATCATGATGAGTTACCATAGTCTGCTGTTAATGCTCGTGGATTATTATCTACATATATCTAGTTTAATTATTATTCATTCACCAAGTCCTCGTAAATAGACTTGATGCATTTTGTGTTGTTTGCACCAGAGCTTAGAAAAAATTAAATTTTTTGGACTACAACTCTAGTATTGCCCGGCTGTTGTGGTCTTTGTCCACACCTATGTAAGTCCAAAAAGGTAAATTCCCTGAGCTTTCATTTGGCCTGATTTATTCTGGGAGCTACCTTTAGATGAATTTCTGGTATAGCAAATGTGTTTGACAAATGATAATTTGGTGTTGAATTACCACTGGATGTCATAACAGGACTTTGCTGTTGTTTCTGTGAACTGTTTAAAAGAGACTTGCCTTATGGAAGCTGTACATCTAAGCAGTGGTCACCAGGTGTTCTTGAACCAAAACTCTCAGAAGCCTTCACCACTAGCTGTGTTGACCAGGATTTCTGGGAGTTGCAGTTCAAGAACCTCTGGGTTTCCCAGAATTGGGAACCATTGATCTAAAGAATGCCCAGTTACGCCAATGGGTCCCTTGAAAAGGTTTGTTCCCCAGTTTCTCATTAAAGCTACAGCCCTATTGCCTCCCATGAACAGGACTGATGTTTGCGCAGGTAGACTACAACACCCCTGTGGCTTAGCAACCTTGGGAATAGCACCCCCACACCGGGTAACAATACCTTGACCACACTTTGTGATGTCACTTTGTCAACTTTATAAATATCTGCTCCAGCAGAGACTTTAGGTAGAGTCATCATGTCTTCAAGAGAGGAAAACAGCTTGCCATCAACACATAAAAAGAAAAAAGAGGAAAAGGCCCAGGAAGACCTTTCCTCAAACAAGACAACCAGGGCTAGGAAGTCAATTCTATTGCACTGCATATGTTGCAGTTGCTTTTTGTAGTGCTCCATGGAAATCACCAGTGACCACAAGTTACAACAACTCTGAAGAACATATGAAATTGGAGGCATGACACCATCATCAGGTGAAGTATTCTAACAGTTTGGGGACTGAAATAGGTGGCAGGGAAGGATCACCAGTGACCACAACGACTCTGAAGCAGATATGAAATTAGAGGCATGACACCATCATTAGAAATGGAAGATGAAAGGCAGCTTCATCCAGCACTTTGTCAGCGCCTTGTGCTTAGAAAGCTAGTCCAGCAGATTAGTGACCAACATCTGCCAGTCGGATATACCAGGGCAACAGTGGGAGCTTCTCCAGGCCACATGATGGTTGTCCAGCATCTTCTCTGATGCTTTTGCATGAGACTCTGGGAATGGAAGGGGTTAGGGTGTGGAATGAAGTTTGGTTCTCTTTAAACCTTCAGTATTTTGATTGTGATCCTCAGCCCATAAGCATTTTAGTTGAAACGTCAGTATTTTGGGATTCGTTAGTGGACCACTCCACGATGTATGGAACTATCACCAGAAATGGCCTGTCTGCTTACCCTTTTTTCCCCACTGTGAGCAGCACTATAGGAAACTCACCACTCCACAATGTATGGAACTATCACCAGAAATGGCCCGTCTGCTTACCCTTTTCCCCCCACGGTGAGCAGCACTATAGGAAACTCAACAGCAGTTCAGTGCTGGGGAAGGATCCACCCCAGTAACCTTTGGTATGATACTGACAGCTGGTCCCTACCTCCGCACTATTAGGGAGCAGGCCAAGTAGGTGGGGCTCATTAGCCTTGGAAGGCAGCCCATCTAGGAGAAGGAAAACTCCGATTTCAAACCTCCACTGCCTTGTGGCTATATCCACTGATGGAAAAGGCTTCAGGAGTTAACCTCGAGGCAAAAACCAAAGCCGGAGTCCCGGAGGCAGTTCGTATCATTCTGTCAACTCCTGCAATGTTGCTGGAACCAGTTGTATTGGCTCTTGCCTTTCCATTGGACTATTTCAGCAACATGGAGAGGGGGGATTTGCTGCTTGGGTAACAGCCTATCCTCCATATTATTTTACCCAGGCTTTGTGCTCTGTAGAGGACACTCTCCAAGTCCTTCATACAGAGCATGTCACCATGGGCGCTCGAGACTGAAGGATGCCATTCCATTCCAATATTTGAAGTTATCTTTCTTTTCAAACTGTTGGTTAATACTTGCACCAATTGGTTAATGCTTGCACCAATTGGTTAATACTTGCACCAATTGCTATGTTTGCTTTTGTTCTATTGAGAAGAGTGAAACAGTACATCAGATTGTCAACTTTGTGTTTCAGGCTGTCAGAAAATATTCCTATGTTTGCAAGTTGCCAGCAAAATCGAGGATATACACAGTTTCTTGCTACTTTACTTGAAGAATTACATTTCAAACATGAAGACTTTGAAAGTTTAACAGGAATATTTAAAAGAGATTATCTTCTTTACTGGTTAGTGCATGTTTCCCCTCTTTCTTATAACTCTCTTTATACTTTGCTTCTTATGAGATCCCCAGCCATGGGATTTATTAGAAGAAAGCAAATCTCTAGTTAAGGACTTTTTCAAATATATATATTTGAAAGAGTCCTTAACTAGAGATTTGCTTTCTTCTATTAAATCCCATATATAGGGCTGAATTTCACAAAAATGTATAAGTACACATTATTAAAGAAGAAACATGTAATGTGTAAGTATTCTGCAGTGCTTTTCATGAAGGAGTAGAGTTTGCTATCCTCTAGGAAGCACATGAAGCAATTTTGCCTTCTTTTTGGTTTTTCTGGAATTCTTCAGAGTCACTTTGTCTTTTTCCCAGAATCAGAAGTGAATTCTGGTTAAGTCTGGTTTTGAAAAAAGAATCTCCACACACACCCCACACAAAAAAACCCTGACCTGATAAGAAAGCATTGTAAAATTACCCTCTGCAGCCCCTAGAGGGTATAAGGAGCCTTGTAAGTCAACATATTGTTGTGTTGAGGGTTGCAGGCAGCTCCCCAATGTCCAATGGTGAAGCAGACAGCCTACCAGACCTCTGTAAGTTGTCCATCTCTGTTATAAAGTCTTGCAGCCTGTCAAGAAGTCATGATAGGTAGGGTCAGCATATCAATGTTTGAGGGAATGGGAATGATCTTGTCCTACACTCCAGCAAGAACAGGTCAAATCAACTGAGAGCAGGAGGTAGTGTTGCTAAAGAAGAACCTTGGGGAGCCATAGAAGGGAACAGGCATGCAGAGAAGCAGTGCAGGTTTCACTCTTAGCTTCAGGATAAAAAAAGGGTCACAGATCAAGATGCTAGATGCATCTTTCTTTATGTGAGCATGATCTGTACGCCCAACACAGTATGATCAGTTGCTTCCAGAAGGCATTATCATTCAAAATAAAAACATGCAGTTGTATCAGAAGGATTGAAAAGGAAGGAAATTATGAGGAAACGACTGGGATTGAAAGATAAAATTAGTATGTTTGCCAAGATAATTCTACTTGTTTATTAAACCTATGTCCTCTGTAAAACCTTTCATTCATTTAAAAGAAGTTAGATGGGCTCATCCAGAACTTGTTTATGCTAACAACTTTATATAGAGTTTCAGAATGCCTTAGCAACTGTCACATTTAAAACAGAACACCGTTTTGGTCAGTACCTGCTGGGCCTCAGGGAGAGATGTCTGTTCAGTTATATGTTACCACATTATAGGAAGGATGTGGACACAGGAGAGGAATTAGGTGATAAAGGTTTCAGAGTGCAATACATATGAAGCAAGATAGATAGGGCCAGGGTGTGTTTTGCCCTCAAGAACGTAGAGTTGGCTGGAAGCCATGAAGTAGTTGTAAAGATTGCCCAAAAAAGATGCAATATTGGGGCAGGGGGGATGGGGCAAACAGTACTTTTCATTGCCATGGAAGAAAGATTAATACCACAGTTCTATGCATCTACGTACACTCAGATGTTCTGCTGTGTTCCCTCACAAGCAGGGTAAGCTCTACCTTTGGGCAGATTTAGGCTACCACCTCACGTAGCAGATTTTGGATGCCCTGGAAGGACCACTGATGAGTGTTCAGTTTGTTATTCTTGCATGGTATTGCCAGGAAGGAAAAGATGCACTAAACAGGATTTTCTTTCCAATATGCCAAAATAATTTGGCTGGCTCTCAATATTGCGCACCTTGACATAGGTGTGGGAGAGGGGCACTGTTCGCTGTTCCACCTCAGGTGGCAAAATGACTGGCTCTGACCTTACTAGGAAGTGTATTTGGAATTGCAGCCTGAGCTGCTACTGTACCTGTTTGAGCTTTGAATATTGGGAAGGAAAGGATCCTAACTGAAGTCCTGTGATTTGCAGCCTAACATTTCTGATGCTCAGTGCATTTGATGATCGGTTTGGAATGCCTAAGCCAACACTTTTTTCTAAACAGAAAGAGGGAGCAGGACTCTGACAGCATTCTGCTCCAAAATGGGAGAGAATTCCAAGATTTGTAGTATGTTGAAGCAATTGAAGATTTAGGGGAGTTTTTTTAGACATACAGTACATATGAATTTTAGACACAAAAAGGGCTCTGGTTGTTGTACATTATACCAAGAATGGGTAATACAAATTGTGTGACCCCTCTGATTTTGTTAGACTACAACTCCTATGATTCCTCCACATTGCCTATGCTGGCTAGGGCTTCTGGGAGATGCAGTCCAACAACAACTGGAGAGTCACATGTTCCTTTGCCCCTCCATTATAGATCCAGGAGAAATGTTATATTTTATTGTTCAAATAAAACATCACCGATCAGTCAGCATTTTTCTTATTCAGAACATCAATCAAACCTTAAATATGGTTTTCTATCTCTCCTTTTTGAATGTTAACTTCTAGATAGACTGTTGTTGCTTTATGTCTTGAGCTGATAACCATTTGCTTCAATATTAATGCTTTCATGGTATTCTTCTTTACCTACAGAGAAAGATGATCATCTTGAGCTTTTGCCCCTTGGCCAGAAATGCAATCAAGACTGAAAGAACATTGTTGGTGGCCAGACAATTTAGTGTCAACGCATCAGTACTTTACATGGATGTGGGGTGGGGAAAATAAAACCTCACTGAGCTATCATCCATCTACATTCTGTGAACAAGTGCTGTGAAAGTATTCTGGTTGACAGGTGGTTATTGTTCCACTCCTGTTTTTATCAAGCCGAAGTTAAGTTCTGTTATAGTTGAAAGAAGCATTTATACTACTCTAAGAATATTACAGGTTTTGTTGTTTCTCATGTCATTGAACCATGCCAGTTTGAAAACATGGAGCACATTTCCAGATATTTGTGCCGTTTCAGTAAGTTGCACTAATAGGGAATACCAAAGACATGTGAGTGCATGCATCTCTTTGGTTTCTCACAAGAATATTACATTCAATGTTTGTGCAAATGCAAAGGAAAATTTTAATCAGTTCTTTGATTATTTCCTCCATGCCCCCCCTCCCAAAAGTAACAAGTTCCTTGGGATGCCTTTTTGGTTTTTTTAATATAAAGTTAACATAGGGAACATAAAAATTTCAGTAATCACAAAATAATAGCGTATCTGGATGGTTGAGAACTTTTCAGTGAATGAAACGGTTGAATACTTTGTAGCCCATCAGCCCTTGTAACTCAGTGTTGCTTTATGACAGTATTCAGTTAATACACAGTTCTTCCTTAGTTCATAGCAGTGCCAATTCTTGCTTTGCCTCTTCGGCAACCAAAAAATTATGTTCCACCTAATGGGATCATGAAGCCAGAAGGAATCTGGAGATCTTCTGGTCCACCCCCTTGTTCAGTGAAGCTTTGAGACACAGGTTGCAACTTTTTATTTTTACATTTCCTGTCAGCATGATTTTTTTTCAGGTTTATTTTATGCTCACTCTTTAGTTCTTAGTCTCTTGAAAACATTTGAGCTTGTTTATAAAATGAGAATGCCTGGTCATCTTTAAGAAAATAAGTTTGTCCTTGAAATAAAATCCTTCTCTAACAATAGCACTGAAAATTGTGATCATTGATCAACAACACCCCAGGGTGGGGGGGGGATATGTTTCCCTTTCTACTCATTGAAAAAAACTAACTTGGCTACCTCTTTCGATGTTCTGCAGGTATTCTGTTGTTGTTAATATTATTCTGGGAAAGGATTTGTTTTCTCACATTTTCCTCCAAAGAGGTAGTCATTTAAAATATCATTTTGTCTTATAATCCTGTTATTCAAAAGGCAAACAGCTAGTGGAAGATACAGGTTTTTTTTTTACTGTGCAGGACAAAGTCCTATGTACTCCTATAAAAGAAAGAAATGCTGCCATTCTTACAGGGTTTTTTGTTCTTGTGCCCATCTAACACATAGCAAATTTCCTAGGTATATAAACATTGTAAATTTTATATCTGTTTTTTTATCCAGTTTCTTCTGATACACACATACACATACCGGTAATTGCAGCATGGTGAGAGTGTTGAGTCTTCTTTGTAAGAGATTCCAAAATTGTAGTTATTAATGTCCTCAGGCAACACAGATTGGATGGTCTTCCAATGTGAGTCAGTGCTGTAGATATGTTGTCTGTAGCACGTGACCCTTTAAAGAATGGATGAACAGATCAGTCTGTTTCCAATCTATGTCATTTTCTCATGTGTTCAAACATAAGCTGGCTTCCGTTGTCTTTTAAAAAGACAAAATTTGCAATTTATTGTTAAGCATTTCCCCATAAAGTATGTATGTTTTAATAACTGCTTAGATATATATACTGTATATATCTTTGAGTGATTTGTAAGCACCCAAAGGGAGAGGATATAAACTTTTTCTGTCAAATAAATCAACAATGACTGCTTTATTTCTGTATTACTTCTGCATTAGTGCTGCGTAAAGAGAATTGAAAACCAACACTATGGAAGCTGGGAGGAGTAAATGCGGCTGATGTATGAACTGCTTCAAGTGCTAATATATATTTGATTTGTATCTTGCCCCTCTAAACCTGAGACTCAAGGCCACTCACCTTGGTTTTGGCTTTTTTGTTTATATTTTGCTTTGTATCAATAGTTCTTGGAACATATTAAAGATAATAGCTGTGCTTAGTGTACTAAGTTGCACCAGAGTAGACCCACTGAATCAGTGGGGATTTAGTGAGTCAAATCCTCTGTAAGTTCCATGGATTCAAATGGAGCTCCTTCCTGTGCTGAAGTACCGTAACTCACAACTAGAGTAAGGCTATATGAATCCATGGGACTTACAAAGGAGTTGATTCATCATTGATTCCATGGGCCTTCTCTAGTGTAATTTATGTGCTAACATCTGGAGGGCCACAGTTCGACACCACTGTGCTAAGCAGCAGGATTTTAGCTGGGAATACTTAAAACAATGTAACATTTTAACACAGTTTAAAATGAATTAACAAGGTATGAATAGAAATATAAAAAGTTACAATAATAAACACAGTTAAACAAACTATATTATTAAAACACAGTTACATTAAAAGCTATTTAAAACATATCAATAAAAAGTACAGCAACCCACTATTAAGAAGCATTTCTTAAGCAAGCAATCAATAGTCAAAACATCAGAATGTTCACACATCAAATATTTTGATGGCATGTTACATTTTTTCAGGAGTGCTTCAGGAGTAGGCTGTGAGTGATGCATGAAAAATAATTTTGACCTAGGGGAAGAAAAATAAATTATGAATTGGATGAACCCCAGTAACACCTGGCTTTGGGCAAATATTGTTCAAGATTACATTGACATTCAACTGGCTTCCATACAGAATGGAGCAGCCACCCACCCACATCCTGTGCCTGTACTTGGCATGCTTTGATGCTGAAAAAGGTGTTGCAGTAGATGGATGTGTGGTTTCCCAGGCAATCACACCTATATATTTGTTCATTTAAGCCAGACTGAGACCTGTCTTCAAATGGCACAGCTTCCCTCAAAAAGGCCCTGAGAATTGTAGTGGAGTGAGGATGATCAATATAAAAATGCTGGCTACTCTTGCAATGATTCTCTTTAATAAAAACGCTGATCATTAAACAAATCTAAATGTGCTTTATAGTGATGGTGTATTAGAAATAAACACAGGCAAAAGCATTATGTTGCAATATTGAGAGAACATTTTCTGTTGCCACAGATGCACTTCTCTGTATGTCAAGCATGGGATGATGAGGAATGGAGGAATTTCAGGCCCTCCTGATGTTCTGACTCTATTTCCCAGCATTCCTCATCATTGGCTATGCTTTCTAGGACAGATGGGAGTTGCAATACAAGAGCATCTGGAGGGCTACACTGATGTAAAGGCCCTGAGTAGAATGACCCCTAAATTCTGTCGAAAGCATTTTACGCGAAAAACCAATAGGCTATGGGGTACAAAAGATAGCAGTTCTTTTAAACAAGGCCATATATGCTTATTTGGCAAATATGCATTTTATGAACCAATTACGACTTCACAGTGTTACAAAATAATTAAGCATTCATGTTCTCCAGAGGTCTTCTTAAGCAATGTGTATTGGGAGGGGAAGGCTGGGTATTATGTTGGAAGCCAAACGTTGACACTTTGCACAAGTGACAAAATGGAAAGCCAGTGGTATTCGGCCTTTGGTGTTGTCAGTGCAGTCCTATGTGTGTGGGGTCCTCACCACCACCACAGTAAGTCCGGCCCCATTTAACGGGACTTAACTAGCAGGAAAGTGGCTGTACAATTGCAGCATCCATTAAAATAGTCTCTGTAGGTGCAAAACGATTTCATTACATTCGTATGCAGCATAGTCTCCTGAGGGAAAAGAAACAACAGGAAACCTCCCCACTACTCTTTATGAAGATGTGAAATTTAGTATTGACTTGAATCTGTTTTCCAGAGAGATAAGAATGCTTTCGTTTCTTGTTAGGCAACCAAAAGAGACGGTTGCAGTGGTAGAAATTAATTTCACCTAGCTGCATTAATAATAATTTTGTACTGTCAAGTCAATTGTGGCTTACGGCAACTCTTTTCAGCATTTTCTAGATAAAGTGCTCAGAAGTGGTTTACCATTCCCATCTTCTGGTTACATCCTGAGACTGTGCAACTCAAGTTGGCCCTTCTGGGAGGCACAGTGGGGAATCAAACTCCCAACCTCTGGCTCTATAGCTAGATATCTAACTCACTTTGAATTAGAGTGAATTAGGTGAAGAGAATAAATAGAATCTGGGGCTAGTAGCATTCCCTAGTGGCTGAAGTGCATGTGAGCATCTTAGGAGCTTGTGTGGCTTCATGCCTTTGAAGCCAGTGTGGCTAATGGTCTTTATTAAATTAATAGGAGAGCACATTCCAGCTCACATGAGGATTTTAAAACAAAAGCTTGAAAACAAAGGATAAATATCTGCTAAGACTAAGGGCGTTTAGGAGAAGAAAGGGATAAAAACTTCTACCTTTTAACACCTTGCCTGCTTGTAATATCTGTGGAGGCCTGTACATTTTGGCTTTCATTTTCACTTAAAGCAAAGAAAGAGGAAATACAACAGGTTCTGGCCCTCATGATTGTGAGAAACCACGCATAAAAGATTGTGTGAGCATCTCTGATTTTCAAGTTTGTTTCCAGCACAAGGCCTAGGCTAGGTTTCTCCAACCTTGTCTTTCAGATGTGTTAGACTACCGTTTTTGACATCTTCCGGTAACATGGCTGCCAGTCTGGAAAATGGTGGCATTATGCCTCTTTACAAATGAGTTCCAGAATTTGTATTTCTCTGCGGTTTTATTTCTTCATGCCACTGAAATATATATATTCCAGATACGAGAACTAAATACTTCCATTGTTAAATAAGTGGAAATTTTTATCTTGTATATATTTTATTTCAGTTGTAACATTTATATTTGGTGGGTTACAGAATTTGGTGGGTAGGTTTTTGAAAAAAGATGTAAATTACTAGACCCCCAAGGCCTTGAAGTTTCTTGAAAAAGAAAGGCCAATTACTTTGCACTGTTCTTATTTCTTCACATTCTTTCAGTTGTGGTTATATTTGCCCTTTACATGAACTAAGATGAAGCAGAACTTTCAAACAAAACAGCCCCGCCGATAACACTGAAAGATGAACTGATTCATTCTGAGAAGTCTTAAGAAAAACTCGAAACATGATTCCCACAATGCATTTCTTCCGACAACCATGGCAAAAGCCTCTGACCTGTTAACTCTCCTGCAAAGCAAGGAGAGCTGCACATGTTTAATACTGTATAAGAATTCATTCTTCAGAAACTGGTGTGTTTTATTTTAATACCTATTGTTAAAAAAGCAGAACAACACAGTGGCACATATACAGGTTTCCAAGACTCTTGCGATTTTTGTGCATAATAGTTTTGGATATCAGCTGCTTAACAGTTAATACACTTACAGTATTTATAAATCCAGATTATAGTCACCTTCAGTAGAAGGAAACTTAGGTAGAGATCTGAGAAATCTGTAACATAAGGAACACATTTTGAAAACTATTTTTGATGTAAAATTCACTTTAAAAGGTCATGAGTGGAGGTGTTACACTGAGATGCTTTTTCACCCCATTAAATTATCTGGAGCAGAATTTGTGGACTAGAATGTATTTCCTTGTTCAGCTAGTTTTTAATGGGAGAGGACAGATAGAAGTTAGATTTAATCCATTGGTAGATGCCCAGCTAATTTGAAGTAGATCACCAGGCACTTTCAACTCTCTGTTATTTGATGAGTGAAAGGAAACGGTCTTCTTCCTTTGTAATTAGACTGCTAAAACCAAGAATGAATGAAGAATAAACAGAATAGATTTGAGTGTGAAAGTAGTTAATCTCCAGTACTTGAATTCGAAATACTGTATGTGGACTGTGTAGATTCTTCAGTTCACTATTCACTCCCCTGGGCCACTGTTTTGCACCTGAACTCCAGCTGGTGGATCTTGGAGGTTAGACTGAAAAACAAAAGTTGAGAACACCCCTCAAACCCCTTCTCAAGAAACTTGTTAATGGGTGGACTACACTACTGGCCACTCATTACTTCTGAGCACGTCCCAC